GACGAAGGGATGCGGATGGGGAAGGGGGAAATCGGGAAAAGAGGATGTGCTTTTCGGGGTACAACGCCGCAGATACACATAACTTTACAGCCGGAGCCTACAGACGACAAAATTTAAATCACTGCGTGGCCTCGAGTGCTTTTTGTTACAATTTACGCTTTATGGGTGACATTTTACAATTTACTTTGTCGCAGAAGCACTTTGCGACCGTGAGTGTGTGCGACTCAAAGCGAAATGGCCAATATAAATTACCCAGTTATGTGCAGCCAGCCAGTGTAACAGTGTAACTCTCTCCTGCATCGCGCCGAAGTAACGAAATATTACTTAAACACTAAATTGTGCCAGCTCAGAGCGGAACAGGACCCAGTGAAAGACAGCGACAGAGACAAATCGATGGGACGCGCTTCCGGTTGGCCCAAATGCCATCGGATGGCCCAGGGTGGCGGTAATAGTCCGGTGACAATTACTGCGAAAGCCGTTGAGACCGAAAATTGCCACAAGAAGCTGCAATTGAAGCTGCCACAAAAAATATCGAGCCAGCACAGTTGCTTATTTACTTGACTAGTGGTGTTTACAAGCGTTATTCTGCATTTTTAAAGAGTAAAGTGTCAAGTCAAGATGTTGTCAACGATAAATAGGAGCATGTTTAAGTCTGGTTAAAATTCAATGAACGTGCTGCCGACATTTTGACAGCTTAGCAGTGGTCATATTTCTTGTAATTGTTGTTTCCTTAAAACTCATTGTGGTTTTATTATGAATAAAATGCGCTTTTAGTTGTCAAGCACTTGGCACAGCTCAATACCCACTATACACTTTTCCACAGAGCGTATTCAAAGCAGTTCCCAGCACGTGACTTATAGACACCATTTCAGTTTAATGGCCCCACTAACTCAGCTAAAAATATATTATATAACCGAGCGAAGGGTGCGTAACTCTTTCGCCGGCACAACTGACTGTAAATGTTCGCGCCTTCGCCCTTGATTATTGGCAGTCATAATTTGGTCATGCATAATGGGACAGGCTGGATATATGAACACCACGATTTGCTACAGTTTCACATTTGAATTATTCCAGTTATTTCGCGCTACATTAAGTCGGCCGCACTCGCACAAAGCCGTAGAAAACGGCTCGTTTTCGGCCAGAGGACTTTATATTTGAATGCGATAATTCATGCGGGCATTTTCCTCAACCGTTTCAGATTCAGATTCAGATGCAGATACAGATTCAGACACAGACCCAGACCCAGAGCCAGGGGAGATTTATCTGGCAGACCGCAGACTGACGAGCTGGCACTCGCTCCATTTTAAATTCCAAATTTTTTGCCCACCAAAAGTTGTGTGTTGATTTAGTGCTTATTCTTTATTTCTCTTTATGGCAGTGTGTGAGATTTTATTTGTGTTTGACTTGCTTTCTGTGAACACTTTAGCACCAGTTCGTGTTTGCCTAACAGGCGTGTTTGTGTTTTCGTGGCTAGTGCACATTTTAATTAAAAAATATTAATAATTAACATGGCAGGCGGTCGCCGGCCGACTGGTGGGCTCAACTGTAGGGCGGGCCGAGCTCTGGATTCAGTTGCTTTGGTCACATAATTTCATATCTGCGTAAAGTACATTAAAGGGGCATAAAAATTCATTACGCAGCGCCAGCGCCAGCGCCGCCAGTTGCCAAACAAATTATCGTTAGCCAAGTTAAAAGGCAAGCGGCGATGGCCTTCAAGCCGTGTCCACATCAGTCGGCCGGAAAAACTGGAGCCTGCGAGCGGGGAAATACTAAACTGTGACACGCGGCAGTACCCGAAAAACGCTCGTACTTTGCCGGGCTGGAACTCCCCCGTTGGGTACTTATTTTCATTATCTGCCACAGCTATTTAAAAATTTAAATCTCCAAGTGTGACCCCCATTAGGTGGCACCTAAGACCGGAATAGGGCCCGCATAAATAATTCACTTATTTTGGGTTCATAGTCGTCTCGAGCATGCGAACGTGTATTTATTTAGTGGCAGTTTAGGGTGCCGGCACCCCAAATTGCAAATTCCTTGCTGAGCCATCAGTGTGGCAAGTCTTTCAGAAAAGGTGCTTAGTTGCTTTCGCCCAAAAGCATCAGCAGCGAATTCTCCTTCTCCATCAACCTTGGCCCCTCGCCTCAGTTTTCTAGCTCTTGCTGGCTGGCCCTTTCCCTTTTGTCTATCCCATTGTCCTTTAAGGGATCTGCCGGCGGGATATTTGGCTACAGCCCAGGCAATTGGTTGTGTCAAGAAGTAGCATGTTGTGGCTTAGTTTGATTTGGCTCGAACCCTATTAATTTGCACTTAAAAGTTTGGTTTAAAGACTTAAGAGCTTTTGTCCGTGAATGCAAATCCTCTTAAAAACTATATTTTGAACAAGGCCTAATTGCTTCTTGGACGTTGCATAATTTTACTTATCTCGCAATTTCAGGCGCAAAATAAAACCATTTAATTTCATAATGGCATAACTTGATGAATAGCTACACTTGATAATTTGAGCACCCAAATGGAGATATGGCTGCAGTTCTCTCTGTGCATATAAGTTGCAGTCATTCGTCAAAATATTTTCCTACATGCATGCCCGAAATGCATCTGCCCTTTTCATAATTGTCAAGAAAATCCCTGTGAAGTTTCCCCTTCAGTTTCGCGCCATTATCCTTGGCAGCTGTCATCCGCCATGAAATATCACGCATACGCCGTGTTGTGTCCACACTGCCTTCGCGCCGGGACTCTCGACTAAATACCCTAATTGGCTTTAACAATGCCTTAATTTTGTGCTTATGAGGGGGCTGCAGAGGCCCCTCCTCGAGTGAAACAACAACAATAGTACCCGATTCGCTATTGTTATGTCGCCACACACACAATGACAAACAAGCAAACACACAATTGTATGGGTGTACTTGTGCATGGTCACAGGTCACATTTACACTCACACACCCGTGCACTTCATTATAAGCAAATATTTTTAGCCTCATTTCAGCTAAAGACGCTTAAGCACGTTATAACTTTCCGCACGATGATATTGTTGTTGTTTTCTCGTTGTTTTTGCTGCAAAGGCTCACTCATCCACACAATCGCAAACTCGCACACTCGCACACTAGCTCACTCGCTCACCAACACACTCATGCAAACTGGCGCTGATTTACCTAACAAGCGCAACTCGAAGAACAAAAGGCCAAAAGGCAGGGGGATTCCAGTTGTTGTTTTCATTTAAAGGGATTTAAAAATTCAAAGGGCAATTGTCACACACACACACAAGTGCATGGAATCGGTGAGAGCGGCAGAAGGACATGCGGAAAGAGTGGGCCAAATAAGAAAGGAACTCGTCTTTTGCATCGCTCTAACGGCCTCTTCTTATTGTTTACTTCACTTTTGTTATTACGTGAAGTTGCTGCTGTTTTTGTTGCATTTAAGCACATGCAATATACACTAGAAAAAAGTAAGCCGATCATTCATATGTTTCAATTTATTGGAAATGTTTTGTATAGTCAAAAAGTTAGTGCAAATTAAATATAGCCTCACAAAGCTTATCTTAGCTTTTCTTCAATAAATTACTTTTCCGCTGAAGTACTTAAATAGATACCCCGTTGAGTCCTTTTTTCCAAGTACATGCATGTGAGTTCGGGAGCAGGGACACTGCATTCAGGACCCACCCGTTGTCCGCCACATGAGCTATTCCATGGACACTCGACGTCTGAGCCTTGCGACGTTGATTCTATGCTAAATACGAGCAGAACAATGATAATGTCGCATGGTAAATTACATGTAATTATGTATTTTCCCCACATTTCCCCATTTCGCTGCTGGCTCGTCCCCAGCGCAGACACTTTTTCGAGCAGTGCTCTTTGCCACATTACCTCAGAACACCGTCGTCCTTTCGGCCGCTGTCTCTGTCACCGCCGTCGACACCAGCAAGTATGTTAATAGCGAAAAAAGAGGAGTAATAACGAGGAGGAAGGAGTGCAATAATAGGGAGATGCACCTTAAATTGCATCCTTTTGTCGTCCTGTTTGGATTTCGTTCCAGGGCTACAATTAACGCAAAGCAATCGCCAGCAGGAGAAGCTGAGCTTCCATGCCATTCATGGTCTGCAGCTTAAACAATTATGCATTTCATATAGGGGACACTGAGTAAAGAATTTCGCTTTTTAAAGGCGACCCTTTTTGCCCTATTTCACTGGCACTTATGGCAATCGTTCAAAAGCTGCAGCAGTTTCATACTAGTTAGCTGTTATTTATATGAGTTATATACATAAGTATATTAGAACAATTTGAAAAAAGAATGGCTAAAGTTGGAAAGGATTAGAAAATATTGGCATCTGCTGGATGTTATTAACATTTGCCTGGGCCAGCAGGCGTATAACAGTTTTCAGTGCCATGCCATAAAAATACTGGTATTTTCGATGAGAGGCAGCAAAGGACATTTTTGGAATTTCTGCTTGGAGCAATAAAAAATAAATTACAAATGCTTTGATTAAAGTGAATACTGCAGTTTTAAGGTAGATATTTATATTTTAATACAAATGTGTAAAAATATTTGTTGCATATTATCATTCAAATTATAAATCACAAGAAGGCCTGCCCAGTCAATTTCAAATGTGGCTGGCGCTTTCGAAAAGCCAGTGCTCTCGGCTGCTCGGATTCTGCGCTCTGTGCGACGGGAGCCGAAAGGACCTGAAAGGACGAGGCTGGCGACTTGTGAATGGCGCCCGGAGCGAGGAAACGAGCCAGTTGGGTTGGCGAGAGGGACGGAGAGAGGGCCGGAGAGCAAGGATTCAGCAAGGAGCAGGCGGCGCGAGTGAGAGCGAGCCATTCGTGAATATTTCATGAACGATGGCAGCGATGGCAGCCAGCTTCGTGCCACCGATAGCCGAGCTCCTTGCCGCCGAAGAGAAATGTAGGGAAACGCATCCCGTCGTCGTCATCGGCGGCAGAGGCAGCAGCAGCAGCGGCAGCAGCAGCGGCAGCGGCGGCGGCGACAGCGATTTCCACAGCAGCAGCGGCAGCGGGAAAATCGGCAGCCTTTCTGCCGTCGTTGCAGTGGCAGCAGCGCCTCCGAATTTTGGCCAATGCGTGTGCTCCTGGCGTTCAGTAAGAAAAGCGTCGCCCAGCGGTCTAGTACGAACGTATACCGAACGCTTTGTATATCCTGTAAATTATATCCTGTGTGTGCGATTGATCACGTCTGCCTGGTTCGTGCGTAGTTCGAAACATAGACTTCACAGATTGCCTTGCCGTAGTGGCAAATTATTCTGGGCTTGGGGCTTGAACTTATTATTATTTTTTTAAAGATCACCTAAGCCTGAACACGAGATTTATGCAGCTGGTCTTATCACGCACTTGGAGTCACTGACTTCCAAAGTTGCCAGCAGATTCGCGCGCGACAAAAACTCAGAAGCTGCCGGCAAAATAATAATTGCCATTGCAGCCAGCTGCTTAAAACTTTCGCTGCGACTTTGAGCCGTCTGAGCAGGGCTTCACTTTTCTGTTTGGCATTTCCCCTGTTATTTTCTCACATATTTTCATTATTTTCTGCACATTTTTGTTTGTGTTTTTTTTTTTTGGCTGACATTTTACATACCAGACATTGATATTAAAACAGAAGACGTCTGGCAGGCAGAGAACTCGTAGTACTACTCGCATGACAGGAATATTTATAATTTCCGCTGCCAGCAGACACAACAGAAAAGAAAGAATAATTTGCGATTACTGGCAGGCAGAAGGCGAAGGAAATCCCTGAAACGATATTACAAGCCAAGTGCGCTTGAGTTCGTGTATTTCCGGTTGAACAAACACATAAGCGAAACATAAAAGAAAGGCGAAAAAAATATACTTACATATACTTCCACATGCCCCCCATACTTATGTCCATATATATATCTATATACGTATATACATATATATGTAGTACATAAATAGAGTAACCAGCCAGCACGAAAAGTGAAAATACACAGAGGCGAAGCCAGGCGAGAGCATATTTCATAAGTTTGCACTCCGCACACATAGAAAGCAGCGGCGAGAGCCAGAGAAAGCTGGCGACAAAGGCTAACGCACGACCTTTGGCACCGAGTTCAGATCCTGCGGAGGGGTCAGCAGCAAATCAATAAAGACAAAGACACCCGGCCAGAGCAACTGCATCCCCAATACAATCCAGCTTCGCGTCCCGAGTCCAGCGACCAAAATTCACTCGCAAATAATGCTGACCATGTCGACCCTGATGATGCCAGCACCGACCATAGCCATGGGTGCCCCACAGATCACAATGGGTCCGCACAAGCCGCCGGAAACGAAGCTGCTGGCCATCCATCCCGCTGCAGCGGCCGCAGCAGCCGCCCAGCAGCAACAGCAGCAGCAGCAGCAGTCGGTGACAGCTGCTCATTTGCAGCACAATGGCCAGCAGCAGCACTCGCAGCAGCAGCAGCAGCAGCAAATGTCGCAACAGCAACAGCAGCAGCAGCTCGTGGGCAGCAACTCCAAGCCAGGTGAGTGGAAAAGCGCGTTTCCCGGGGTGAATGTCCTTGCCCGTTTCGGTTTCGCTCTTGGTCCTGGTCCTGCTCCTTGGTCTTGGTCTCGGTTTCGATTACGATTTCGGTTTCGGTTTCGGCGCCATTTCCACCGGCACAAGGTGTTGCATAAATTGAGAAATGTCGCTGCCACTTTGCCCCTGAGACGTGTTTCGCATGGGGCAGACAACGAGCGCTGTACTTTTCACATCAACAATTGTAATAAATTTCCAATGGAAAGCGGTTTCATTCGTCGACTAAACTGCTGAATATAGATGCAATATAAATTCTTAATTGAATGTATCAAAACTAAGTGGCCTGTAACAAAATAATCAAACTTGGGTGGAATTTTATTTTCTTGCAAAAGGAAATCAATAAAAATGAGCAAATGCTTGTGCCTTATTTATTTCAATTCTTTAAATGAAAAATTTGGAAATGCAAACCGTTTAATACCATGTAAAGACCAATAAATCAACTATTAGTTTCATAAAAAAAGTAGCATAGTCATTTGCAATTCTAAACGTATGCAGATTGGCTTTCAGTTAGGATTTAATTGAATGCATTTTATTTTGCGATATAATTGCATTGCATTTTCAGCCAAGGATTTGTGCAGGCTTAAAAAGTTAGCAAATCATTCAAACACGGCCATGGCAAAAAATAATTTATCCCATTAGATGTATCCTAATAAAATGCTGTTTGTGCTAAAATGTGTTCTATTTGTCACATTTATCTTAAAAAGCAATAAATTTGGGGTATGGAGAAAATCCATAATGAAAAATACATAAAAAAGTAATAATAAAATGCGAGACTTTAAAATAAACAAAAGTTCAAGTGCAGCAAAAGCCTCAAGCAAAAGCCTCAAGCAAAATCCTCAGCTAACAACAACCTCTTGAGAAATAACAACAGCTTACGTATTCAGAGAAATGTCTGAACAATTACAATTCAAACCAAAAAACACCCTAGGCGATCGATATCTGGGCACGATAACGTATTTCATATTTATAGAAATTTCGTAAGCGTCAGATGGCCAAAATCATACTGGCAACACATTCAATTAAACGTGGCCCAGGCAGTCGGAAGTCAAGGAGGTGGATTTCAAAAATACCAATAGAGCACACGTATCACTTTCGGCCAGTTTTAAATGAGTGAAATTCCAAGGGGCCAAAATTCGCACACGTAATCCGAAAAATAACAAAACTCGAACACGCATTTCAGAGATGAATTATTGTGGACACCACCCCTGCGGGCTGAAAATGTCAAGCGTAGGCATTACAAGCATAAATATCAGTTACAATTTTCATATTTTTAACCACAAATGAAAAATTTGATACAGCTCTCGGCTGGCAAGGGAAATTGCATGCCCGTAGAGATTTACAACTTAAAAACAACTTAAGCCGAAACTTGGAAACAAAGGCAGCAGCGATACAGACAGAAACTGGGACTATTCTCCAATTTGTTGGCTCTACCAGGCCCAGCCCCTCCTCGACCCCTAAGTCCCTCAAACCGGCAACGGTTGCTAATGGCAAAAACTATACACAAATAGACACTGGCAGGCATAAAACCGGAAACAACGGAACAGGAAGCTGCATGAAAATGAAACGAGGAAAAGCGGCCAGGCAGCCAGGCAGCCTGACTTTGGGCTGTAATGAAAAATGGAAAATGTCTACTGCTACGACTGGGACGACTAAAAATAGTGAAAAGTTGAGTGTGCGTCGGTGTGGCATCTCGTTGAGTCGAAAGCCGGCAGAAAGGCAGCAAGAGCAACTTGAAAATGAATTTAATTATGGCAAAAAAGTGAAAATTTCCACACTTGAGTCTGCGAAGTTTGCCTTTCCCTTTGGCCGCCGGAGCGTTGATGAGCGGCTGCAAAGTGTGAGAAAATTACTAGACAAGACAACACCAACTGGCGGGCAGGCGGGCAGGGCACATAAATAGGAGCCGGGGCGAAAGTGAAGAGTCCGCCGGTTCCGGGCATTGTGTAAGTTGGCTTAATGCGGCCCGGCTTACTAGAAGTCCGGGAAACCAAGGGGGAACATCCTGGGAAATGGGTGCGAAAGTGGAGCAAATTCGCTAGTTGTTAACCGGCACAAAAAAATATAGATGGAGAGTCATTTCCAGGACACTTGACTTTGCGATGATCCGCACTTATCCACTAATTAGCGGACATATAGAAAAAGTCGATGCCAGCGCAGCGACAAAGCCAAGTGTGCTCTAATTGAAATCTAGATAATTTTCACTTCCGAATCGACTGTTTTCCAAAGGTAAAAAACTGTTGATTTGAAGTGTTTTTAATAAACTTAGCTATTTATTTTATTCTGACATCTGAAGTACTATCAGTATTATTGCTAGTTCAACGTGCAAGACCCTCAATTTTAAATTACATTAAAATCCACGCTTTATGCAGCTTTAGCTAGTTAGCTAGTTGTGAAGAGTTATTCAATCAAAAGAAAGCAATGGGGAAAAGGCAAGAGGGACAATTGACTTTGTGATGAGCCACACTTAGTTACTAATTAGCAGAGGGCTAGAAAAAGTCGACAACCGCAACCGACAAAGCAAACATTGATTACCAGGCCAAATGATTGCAAATTGAAAATTAAGCACGCCGCTGAATTTCCAATTCAAATGCGAGAGAGTCGACCAAACTGCCGGCAAACCGAAAGGAGCAGAGCGTAACAGGCACATGCATATAAATTTATATATGCACTAAGGACACACAGTGCACACCCACACAGCTGCACTGGCGCACGGTGCATGAACTTTCGAGCAGCACTTACACACACATGCACAGCGCGGCAAGCGGCGGGGGCGGGGGCGGGTTACACCTACATACCGCTGTTGCAAAAACAAACAGCGACTGCGAGTTTCTCAAGTGTCGCAACTGCAACAGCAGCAGCCAAGCCAACAAGTGCCACAGTAGTTGGCAGTGGGAGGAGTGCCGTCCGCAGCATCACAACATCCACCACCTAATGGAGGTTCAACTACAGTGGCAGCTACCCGTAAGGGAAGGTCCATATGCTGAACAACTCACCTTAAATTTAGCTGCAACTCAGCCCATTTAAGTTTCTGGTTTTGTTTTCATGTCCATTTGATGTCTATATGAAAAGATGTTAGGCCTAAAGGTAGCTAATGCTATACTAAATATAAGACATACTTGCCACTGCTTAGTCGCAGTTACCAAGAGGAACCCTGCAGTTATATCCTTGGCCAGATTTAATTGGAGATGTGTTTTGCCAACATAATTCCACTGTATTTCGGTGTATTATCTCCATCTGGCTGTGATCCGCCTGCACTTGGCTGTTTTTCCTTGCCCCCAAATGATGCAACAACAACGGCGAGCGCGCTTTACTTTCGCTCAGGCAACGGCGACAGCAAAACTTTTAAATTGGTTGGCAACACTTGCAGCCAACACACACACACACACACACCCGCATACGGACAAACACACATACTAAATGTTTGTTTTGGAAATGAATTTGGCAATTTTTGTATGGCAGCTAGGTTTTGGGGGGCAGCGGGCAGAGGCGGGGAGAAGTGGCAAAGTGAGGCGAGAGACAGCAGGCAACACCTCAAAGTAATTTGCCAGCAAATCATTGGAAGGAGTCAGTTGCGAAGGCGGAATAACCGAAGAGGATAGCAGCAGCCGAAAAGTATGCAACGCCAAATGAAACACACACAGAAACGTAAGGATAAGCACGTAATGTGAGTGTGTGCGGCAGGGAGTTTGTGTGGGTAAAAAACCACCAAAGTGAAATGCATTTATCGACCGCAAAGCGTTCGAAATGAAATCTGTTTAAAGGATTTTAATACCCCAGCAGAAACGTGGAGTCTGCATCAGAATCTTTGACTGCGCTGGTAAATGTGTGGGTGTGTGCATGGAGATGGTTGTGCGGGTGTGTGGGTGCATGGGCGGCGAACACAAAAAGTCAATGAATTCGTTTGGCGAATTGAAAAATTAATTCAGTTGCCGTCGCTGGCATTGATAAGGAAAAGTACAGGGACTGGAAAAACTTTTACACGCCGCTTTTCTTTTATGTGTGTCTTTATCTTCGCCTCGTCTGTGTGTGTACTTACACACACATTGACAAGCATTTTACTTACTAATGATTTCTCATTTCGCTTACGGTATTTCTCTCTTACTCGTGCTTTTTGTCTTACTTTGCGTTTTACAGCACACCCATACACACCGAAACCGAATTACTCACTGACGTTGTTGTGGATTTTCCCTTCGAGTTTTCCCATCTCGAAAAGCGAAGGAAATTAAGCAAAAAGCGCAAAGATTTATTTCGCTTTGATCAAAATTAAATGAATTGATTTTAATACGCCCCGTGGGCAAGATATTTCCTACGCTTTCGCAAATGAAAACGCATAAAAAAGGTGTTGGTTGGCCTTGTGGGCGTGGCCGTTTCTGGGCGCTGCTCGTTGTGAGCTTTATTTTATGCCAGCGGCCATTACAATTGAGTAGCTTTGGCCATAGCTATGTGCCCGTGTCTGTGTGAGCCATTTGAATTCCCATCCGCACTGGTGTTGGTGTGGAGTGCCGTGCTTAAAGACTCTCAATAAATTCTACTTGAATTGGGTACAAAGTGGAGGATGCGATAAAATGTTTAAGGCCAGCGTGTCGGAATATTAATGTTGTATTGGGCTTTAAGGCTGCACGGCGAATGCAGGTTTTGTATCTTATAAATAGAATCTTTATTGGCTTTTTTCTCACTGTTTGTTCTATTTGAGTTTTAAATACTTGGTAATAATACACTGTTCAAATGCCTGTACACGAATACATAAATGCGCATCTTTGTGCTAAAAATAGCGAACTTGTCATTGAGTGAAACATAAAAATCGCTGCTTAATTTGATGTCTACCCGCTGTCCTGTTCATTCCGTTTGATTACATTTCATTTGATTGCTAACATTTTTGACTGTCCATTTTTACACTGCAATTTCTTTTGTGCTGCGTTTTGTTTCCTGTTGGTGGCGGCAAAT